GTGAAAAATTTCTGATCACCCGCCGAATTATGGACCAATCAAATTCAAAAAAATCAAAATATCATGTGGGGGTGAAATTTCTATGGGTAAATGACTCGTCATATGAACGATCATAATGATCATTATTGTAAAAACGAATATAAATATTTGTGTAACATATAGATCAAAATCTAGACTTTCCCTATGCTATCAATAAAGTGCACAAAATTGATTGAATCTTCCAATGCTTCTAGAATTCCGATTCCCTTTTAAAGAAAGTAATTATAATAAAATAAACTTTTGCTCACAACTATTACTTTTCGTTTTTATGATTATTTACGTCTCTTGTACGTATTACAATAAAAAGTATATCAGTTGTATTAAGAGATATGTCCCTCAAATGCAAAATTAATAGTTTTGTAAATTTCACAACAAATCTTTCAAAATTTGTAGGAATATCAAAATATCTATAAAGTATTTTTTGAGCGAAAGTAGACCCTGTAGAAATCGAACCTACCGAAATTGTATCTCGCGAATTTTTTAATTATACTAAATAAATAAATTATGATATTAATATTCATCACGTGACATAACAGAATCAATAAATTGCAAAGGTATCGTTTTTGAGATATAAAATAAGAAAATAAATAATCTATCCGCCATTTTTTATTTTTTGACAAGAATAAAATAAATAAATAAATAAATAAAATTAATTATTATTATTATTATTATTATTATTACAAATAAAATGTAATATAAGAGGTAAAAAATTCATAAATATACAAATAATTATTAGTTAACAAAAATTTTGTATATATATATATATATTGTGTGAAAAAAGTATAATGTTATTAATGAATGAATTTATAAAAAATGTTATATAAAATGAATAGTTTTTTATGTATCCTTGTTTTACAAATATTATAATTTTACACTAAAGATAATTATTACAATTATTATATCCCATACGAACTCTGACATCACTAGATTACGATGTTCTCTAGCTTGTAAATTATTTACTACCATTATTATTATTATTATTGTTATTATTATTGTTATTATTATTGTTATTATTATTGTTATTATTATTGTTCCTATAATTATTATCAAATGTTGTTGAATTTATATTCGGTGTGGGTGGAAGAGGTAAATTGGGTGGTGGAAGTTGTGAAGGTGCAATTGGATGTGAGCTTGAATTAGAAATATTTCGGGATGTTAAAGAAGGTGATGATGGTAATGATGAAGGGGGTGTAGTGCTGTTATTATACATTTTTTGTACAGGTGTTTGAATTCGTGGTGGTGGAGATAATGAAGATTTTATATTTATAGGTGGTGAAAATCGATCTAAATCACTAGATATAGGACTAATTCTTCCGTTATTATCTCGATTTAGAGGTGATATTGGTTTTTCATTTAACCAATCACCTTTTGATTCATGTTTTATTTCACATTTTATTTCCCCTTTTATTTTTTCGTTATAATCTACAGCAGTTAAATCGGATTCGGAACGCATATGTACTAATAGTGGACGAGTTGGTAAATTAGATGCATTTGTTTCCATATTACTATGATTTTGATTTCGATTTAAGGGATTTGGTGAATTATGATCAACTGCTGTAGAGGTACCATTACTTTTGCTTTCACTTTGTCTAGTTCTATGACTTCTTTCCGAATTTGCTGTACTTGGATTATTATAAAAACATCTTCGACGCATCTTGGTGAAATCATATACTAAAAATTTTTCTTCCATTGTTCTCATTTCTTTGGGAAGTTCACTTATATCTTGATTTGCACGCTTTTTGGCTTTAAGGGGATTATCTTCAAGAAGTAATTCTTCAAGTTCATGAGTAGCGTCAAAATTGGCCCGCTTAGACTTTAAAATATATTAAATTATTATTATTATTATAAGAAAAAATTTTGGCAAGATAAAAAAACAAAAATAATAAGATTATATGTGAAGACTTACATCCGGGATAAACGGTGGTCTAGCCTGTTTTGTATCAAGTTTACTCCATTCAATATCTTTAAACCACGGATGATTTTTGATATTTTCTAAACCGTTTGGTCCACAGCCAAGTCGTTTTGAAATGTCTCTCTCGCAAAACTATAAAAATCAATTTATCAATTTATTAAAATCTAAATTTATTAAAATTTAAATTTATTGAAAAATATTTTAAAATCTAACTTACTTTTTTTAAACAATCGATACACTCCTTGCTAACCATATCTTGAACATTATCCGGAAAATGTAAGGGTTCGTTTAAAATAGCATTTGTTAACGTAGAATTGGTCTTTCCACGAAAAGGTCTCTAAATGTGAAAATAAAATAATAAAAAAATTTAAATGTTAAAATATATGAGATAAATAAATTAAAAGTGATAATAAAGTAAATTATTTATTATTACAACCTTACTGAAGAGAAGTTCATACATCACAACTCCAAGTGACCACCAATCCACTGAATCAAAATATCCTTTTTTGATTAATACCTCGGGAGCTAAAAAAAAATACAACAATTATTGTTATTTTTATTATTATTTATATTTTTATAACTGTTTTAATTCAATTATTCAATTTACCCATATAAGCCATCGATCCAGCAATTGATGTGAGAGGTTTTCTTTCATTATAATGAACAGCTATATTGAAATCGGTCAAATGAGCATGACCTTTTTCATCTAAAAGAACATTATCGGGTTTTAAATCACTATTAAATAATAATAATAATAATAATAATAATAAATAATGTTAATATATATAAAATATTATAATATTTAATACAAATAATTCATAATTATATATTTACCGATGAACTATTTTCTTCGAATGTAAATACGCCAATCCAAGGCTTACTTCAGCAACATAAAATTTTACAACTTCTTCTTTCATATTTCCTTGCCTTTCCAAGTGAAATCTTAAATCACCTCCTAACATTAAATCCAAAACCATAAACATGTTCTCGTCATCTTGAAACGCATATCTCAAATTGCATACTAATGGATATTCAATCTCTTCCAATAAACGACGTTCCTGTATAATGTTTTCTACAGCACGCATTTTTATACACTTTGCTTTGTTTATATATTTAAGAGCATATAAAATTTTTGAATGTTTATGTTGCACAACGCGGACCTATACCATTTTTAAAGAATTAATTGAATTTATTAAATTTACTCTTCTTTCAAAAAAAGTAAAGGAGGTTTTTTTTTTTTTTTAAAGAAATTCAATTATAATAAATGTACCTTGCCAAATGCACCTTTCCCTACTGATCTTAATAAATGAAAATGTGAAAGTTCAACTGCATTATTCACACATTTAGAAAAAAAAATATATTAGTGTTTTTATTTAATATGAAGTCAGAAGCCTCGTAGTGTTTAAAGTAGTTAAAGTAGTTAAAGTAGTTAAAATAGTTCACCTTCGGCATCAAAATCTATTTCTTCATCTTTACAACAACAAGCACCCATTTTATATATGAAAATATTTACTAAGTTTTAAAGTTGTTATGTAAATAAATAGATGTGAAGTTTAAGATGAGCTTTTTTTTATTATGTACACTTTCTATATTATTGTCCAATTTACAATGCACAACAATTGAATAAAATATAAATAAATATTATATTGACAGAGAAATAATAATGAATGAATAATAATATATAGAATTACGGCCTGCCGGTGTATATATTAGAAATAAGATCGTAGACAGGCTACAATATTTTACAGAAAAGAAAACACGAAATAAAAATATCCAGGAAATAGTGGTTGACTATAAAAGGGAAGAGACTGAGGAAGTATATATTTTTTTTTTTTTTAAGAAGGCGGAGAGCCTTCTTTTGTTTGTAAAGTTGATAGAATTGAATGCAAAACGCTGTGGTAATATTTTTGTTACCATTATGAGTGCAAATTGTTAAGAATTTACACAATTGACTTTCAATATATAATACTAACAAAAAAAAATTTTTGATTTAAATGTGAGACAATACACGAACACATTAGGAAATACCAAATATCGAATAGATTGCAGGTTTGTTCTTTAAATAGAAGACTAAGACTAACCAAATTTATACTTGAAAATTTAATAAATCTGCGTATATTCTTTATTAAGATAGAAAGAATCTAAAAATATAAAGAAAACTTCTTTGTTCACTTCCTTTTTTATATTGGAATAAAGATGTGTGTAATATTAAGTGAACGGATTGGTTCTTCAAATAAGATAAAAAAAATTTTTTCTTGTTTCAAGTTTTTATATATTTGGTAAATTATCATCATCATTAACAAATATTTGAGACAATCTAAATCTTGCATAAATACAAGAATCTTATTATTTTTTTGAATAAAAGTTTTAAATTTTTGACGTAAACTTTTCGTATTTTATTGTTTCACTATACTTAGAATCACTTGAACAATCCTTAGAATCTTTTTTTTAACAATCCTTAGAATCTTACAATTTATGTTGATCCTACAGCTAAAATTTGATTCTAACCGTTTTAAACCAAATATTATGACTTCAATTTAACGATTTTAAACTTGTCAACAGTTGCTACTATACTAATATCTAATACTTTGTATATTTCTTTGTATATATACCACCACATGATTACAACTAATATAACTAATTTCCATATCCGCTAAACAATTTTTGTTTTAATAAATTATTAATAGAATTAATTTAATTAATTTATTTTAAACATATTTAAAAATATTTAAAAGGAAATTTTAATTTTATCTTTCCAGAATAATAATATCATTATATTCACAATTATTATCCTTTAATAGGATTTATGATACATTGTCAAAGAGTTTTCTTTATGCATAAATAAATTTCTCCTAGAAAATTAAATTCACATGTTTTTTACCGTGACATGTGTTATTTTTAAGTCACACTTATTTTAAAATGTACCATTTTTAATATATACTATGAACATAAAGATGTACGTCTTTGTTGCATAACACCCTTCTTTAACATAAACATAAATGAAAAAATAAAGTATTATCAAATAAAGAAGAATCTCTAATAAAATCAAAAAATTTTTATATTCTAAGAGACTAACAAATCAATATTATTATTATTAATGTTAAGGAATTTGAAATTTCAATAAAATTAAATAATCAAACTCAAGAAAAATCTGTATAAGTTTATAATTATTGAGATTAATAATATAAAATCTATTATATGCACAAAAAAAAAATAGAAATATTGTTTCTTTAATATTTGGTTGTACATTTTATTTTAAGTTATTTAAGTTTAAGTTAAAAAATAAAGAATTTGATAAAACTAAAAATTAAATGCAAGTCCCAATTTTGATCATCATGTTACACAAATATTTATTAGATTTACAAGAGTTACACAGTTGATTTTTAAACGTCCACATGACAAGTACCAAAATGACGATGCTTATATCGTTTTTTCAAACTATCACTTCTTAGATCCAATGTTTGGAGAAGTTTACTTAGAGAGGTGTTTTTTTAAGAAAACTATTATAAAACATATTTTTTTATTATATTTTTTATTATTTTTGAATATTTTTTTAAAAAATTTACCAACTATTAATATAGTTATAATTAAGTACATTTAAAAATTCTTCATGAACTTGTTTCATTTTCTTCAACTAAAACCTCTACTTTTTTTTTTTCTTCAGAAGTAAAAGTATTAGGACCCTTTTCAAAAATAATTTTACATTGCTATAAATTTCATGTTTATTCCTTAAATTGTAAGCAATTCCAAATAAATTTGTTTATAAATTTTTTCTTGAAAATCATGGAGACTTAAGTTTATGTAATAAAATTTTTATCATAAATTATTGATTATCAGAAATATATAATACTACTCATATTCAGAATAACATTTTATCCAATCACAATTAAAGATCTATATATTGTAATTGGCTAAAGTAAAAATATATATTTTAAGAAAAGTATCAAAAATCTTAAATATTTTAATATTTATTATGTTAACTATCTTTCAGTTTCTAAATAAAAATATTTAGCTTAAAATTTTATATCTATTTGTATTTTTTACAATACTTTGTTATATAAAATATCTCTTATTAAATAAATGTTCCTATTAGAAAAATTGCAAACCTATTAGACCACTTCATTACCTTGTAAAAACTTATTTATTTTTTTCTTTTAATAACAAATATTATTGTTCATTTATTTTTTTTATATTTATTTACTAATTATACAAGAAATGAAGAACTTTAGTTAATAGAACAATTAGAAGTATATTATTTATATATATTATAAACTTTACTTATAAGTAAAGTCCTGTGTATCAGATTGTTAATCAATTCTTTAAATAAACTAATATATTAATATTTTCAAACTGCTATATAGTATAAAAGTCATATAAAATTTATATTTAATCTTAACTATTTTTTAATAAAGTTCTAATTTTATAATTTAATTATCTTATTAAAATCAATTGGAACTATAGAATAACTTAATAAAAAATATAAATTTTATTATTTAGAATATTTTTAATTATTATTATATTTAAGATTATAAATTAGCATTTAACTTTAAATAAAAGTAACTATTTGAATCTGCTTTAGAGTAAAAGAAAAATTCACTATTTTTATAATATTTAACTTGACCAAAAACTTGATCAGTAATTATACTAATATTTTTGTCAATAATTATGCTAATCAGTTAACTATTAACTTTGACAATCAGTTGGTTAATTAGTTGATTACTAAATTGATCATTAATTTTATTATTATGATTTACATTATTGATTTACATAATACATCATCAGAAAATTTAATAAGTGAAAAATTGTACAAATTTTCACTTTATAAATTTTCACAAATTTTCAATACCTTTAAAGTTTGCACAAAAAAATTTCATAAAATTTCACAATATTTTACAATATTTCATTAAAATATTTTCAAATATTAAAAATAATAAAATTCTTAAAATAATTCTTAAAATAAATAAATATCTCAATCAAATTTTAGTTGTTTCTATCAAAAAAAACAAAAGAAAAATAGTGAATTACTTTTCAAAATAATTTTCAGACATTCGAAATATGTAAAAATAACAAAAATTTCTTTAGAAGTATTTGCTAATTCTGAAGAAAATTCAAAATCAGTACCAGAGTTTGAAATCAATGAACAAAGAGTAGAATTACAAAAGTTTGAAGAACTTGAACCAGTAATAGTAATTGAATACTAACAGTAACAGTATCAAGATTTGAAATAATTGAATTGGCAATAACATTACCAATAGTAATATCACCAGTAATAATAACAACAGCAGAAATAACAATATCAAAGTCTGCAAGCAAAAGGAGGAGAACTGAAATAGGAAATATGAAATAGCATTCTAATGGTAATACATCAGGAAATTTAATTAGGCATAAATTTATGGAAATATCACATGACCTCCAGAAATTTACATCTAAAAATTTAATTTTTTAATTTCAGCTGAGATTTAAATAACAGGAAGTGATTTTCTACTAAGATATTTCTAAGATAGATCGAAAGTCTTAATTTTTGGTTACAAGATGATATATGTTTTATTACTATAGCATCGATATTCACAGAGAAATTCACATTTAAATTCAAATATTTGTGAAAATTTATAGAAAAATTATAGCATAAATTTTTATAGATATTTGAATTTAAATGTGAATTTCTTCACGAATATTGATGCTATAGTAATAAAATATATATTATCTTATAGTCAAAAATCAGGGTTTTTGATCTATCTTAGAAATATCTTAGTAAAAAATCACTCCCTGTTATCTAAATCTCAGCTAAAATTAAAAATTAAATTTTTAGATGTAAATTTCCAGAGGTCATGTGATATTTCCATAAATTTACACCTAATTAAATTTTCTGATCTATTTAAAAAAATGTCAAATAAAATATTTTAAAATAAATTCTTATTATTTTATTTATTTTAGATAACACTTCAATAACTTATAAGCAAGTATTTCATATTATAAGATATTTAAATAAAATTAAGAATAGACAAATAAAAATAAAAAAAAGATATTTCGAATTATACTTGCATGTAAAATTATTTTAAAATTCCAAAATTATAATTTTGAAGAAAAAAGTTAAAATAGTTTTTTATAGAAGATGAAATTATTTTACTTAAAACCCAAAATTTTTTGATTATCCAGATTTATTCTTTAATTGAATATACATATAAATAGATATTTTTTTTACTTTTATATATAGAATAGATTTTACATAAATCTTAAAAAGTCAAAATACCTCAAAAATCCAAAATCAATTTTGAGAACATGTATATTTTGAATGTCTGAAAAATACTAGAAAAACATAAAATGTGAGTGGAACATGATGAAATTTATAATGAGAGTTTTATCAAAGTAAATATTTTATTTATTATTTTTTTATAATATCGATAACTTTTTACTGATTTGAAATATTTCAAAAAAGAGATTTGTTGAAAAAATTGTAAAAAAATCAATTAAAGAAAAGATTTATCTCAACTTTATAATATTAAAAATTACAGCTGCTCATTACTATGATAAAAATTATCTGGAGATTTTTGAAAATTGGTTAAAAAAGAAATGGATACTTTACTATGATTCAAAAATTCAAATAGAAATATGTTTTTTTAATATTTGAAAAAAAAATTTTAAAATTTATTTAAAAATTTTTGAAAATATTTCAGTTATTAAAAAGTTATCAGGGCCAAAAAGATTTATTATTTTTCTGCATTAAGGCTACAATATTTCAAATTTACTAAGAAAAAAATCTTTTATTCATAAATTTGAAGGTTGTACCTAATGAAATAAAAAAGTAGAAAGAATCATCTATAGTTAAAGAATATTATAATTTATTATATTCAAAAATTAACGATAATGATGATATAACTTGGTGTGGAAGAATTCTTAACAGACTTTAAACAGATCTTTCTAAAACTCTTTTAGAACAAATCACTTTTGCTATTTCTTTATATAAATTTTTTTTGAATCTTAAAAATGAAAATATTAAAAATGATAATAAATATTTATGAATTATAATAAAAAAAATAATATAAATAGAAAATAATCTATTTTTTCTTGAAAATTAAAAATTTAATATCTTTTATTTTATAAAAAAATATAAAAAATGACAAAGTATTTAGTTTAGAAACTTTTGGTTCTGATGATGAAATAGAAGAGGAGGAAAAGAATTACTATCAGAATGGAAAGAGAAGAAGAAATAATAATTTCAAAAGTTCCAGATATTTTTGAAATAATATATATATATATATATATTTAGTATATATATTATATTTTTGAACATTATAAATATTTATTAGTATATTATATTTTTTAGATTATTTATAAATATATTTTTGAACATTATGATATATATATTATATTTTTGAACATTATAAACATTTATTAGTTATTATATATATTTTAAATGTACAAATATTTATTAGTTACTATATTTTACATAATAAAGAATACTTAGTTTATTATATTGTTTTACATAATAAAGATTTTATGAAATATTGTGAAAAATAATAATTAATTTAAAAGTGATTAAAAAAAACTAAAGAACTAATCTAATTTGAATATTTGAAAAAAATAGAAATAAAATTTGTCAAAAATCTTTGGAAAATTTCAAATCAATATTAATGAAAAAGAAAAAAAAAAAGATATTAGAAACAGTATTGAATAAACTGATTCAATTTTTATGTACTGTTTCTAAATAAGAATATTAGCATTTGAAAGTATTTTACTTCTAGATAGCAAGGTTATAAATAACTTGCTGAACAACTACCTGAAACTCTGAAAAATCATGGAAAAGGTAAAGAACAGCAAAGTTATGAATATAACCTGTTGAACTACTACCTGTTATACAAAAAAAAAACACAGAAAAGGCAAAGTATCATAATATAAGAGTTGTGTTAATCAAGAAAAAAAATGTCAAGAACTTTTCTTATAGAAATTCTACCTTAATTCATCAATTTAACACAATCAAAAGGACTCAAAAAATTTTGTTGGAGTCTTGGACAATCTAGAAACACAACATCAAAAGAAGATTTTACAGTATTCAACCTTGTTAAAAACCAATATATTTACTTGAAAAATAAATAAGTTTTTGAAAATTTCTGGAAATTTTTGTTCTAAAATTTTATAAATAATAATTTTTAAAAAAGTTTGAAACAAGATCATTTAGTGTATAATCATTTAGTAGTAAATAAACAATATCATTTTGTGTTACATAATAAAAAACTTTATGTAGAAATCTTTCAGAAATTTTCACTTCAAAAATTTTTGAAAAAATTGTAGAAATTTTTGAAGTAAAAACTTTCCAGAAATTTTTGCCTCTTAAAATTTCCTGATGAATATTATCTTTATTTATATTTTAATAAAAGTTTTCACAATGTTTTATCCTTATATAATTTTAATCTATCAGAATGTATTGGTTCCTTTACTTGTTGCCCAAATTGATTATTTAAGATATAACTTCCTTTACTGAGTCTTTCATTAATTGTGAATGGTCCTTTCCATTTTGTGTCCAATTTGCCTGACCATTGTTTATTTTGTTTTGAGTCATACAAGATTATCTTATCTCCTTTAAATTCTATCTTTCTCTTTATCTTTAAATTATGTCTTCCTTGTGATTTCTGTTGTGAAATCTTAATAAAATTTCTTGTCTTTAGTAGGTCTAGTGACAATGTTTCTTCTAATTCAAACATTCTTTGTATAATAGTATTTTTCAAATCTATCTTTATCCACTTCATTAGGTAAAATTGGATTTTTTCCATAGTTTAAATAAAAAGGTGTATATTTAGTTTCCTATATTTTGTAATTCTATAAGCAAATGATGCTGATGGTATATTTTTGCCTATTTAAATACATTAAATCTACTTGTCCTCTTTAATATATCACAAAGTGTTTTATTAAATCTTTCTGTTAATCCATTAGTTTGTAAGTGATATGGTGATGAAAATCTATGTTTGTATTTGACTAGTGTAAAGAAGATTGATAAGGAGGTTGGAGAACTTCAAGTAGACTTCTGAAAGATAACAGAAAGTAATAAAATGTGGAATGATATGTATAATCCTACTTTATCAATTTAAGTATTTTATTTATTCTTTATAACAAAAAAAACCATTTTATTTATAATATTCTTAATATTCTGAAAAAAAAAAGAAAATTGTTGGAAAAATAATTTCCAAAAATTTTTTTTTTTAATTTTGATGGGGGTCATGGTTACTGATTTGAATCATAGTTACTTAATTTGAAATTAAGATCATACTTTTTTGATTTGATTTGAAAGTTAAAGTCATATCCTAAGATTTGAGATGATTTGATATTATTGTAATAAATAAATAATAGAATCCTTAGATAAAGAAACTTTTTATATAAAAATATTATTGTAATAGATAAATAATTGCCTTTAATTGTAAAAAAAAAAAAATTACAACAGAAGAGAGGAAGAAAAAAAATTGCTATACAAATTTAGAATTCTAAAATTTAATAATAATGATGATAATAATAAAAATAAAATTCTAGTGAACTTTGAGATGCAAAAATAAATAAATGAATCAATTAATGAACAGTTTATAAGAAAAAAAACAAAACAAAACAGACTACAGTACAGTATTTTTAAAATAATTACAAATCGCCACTCTGAAAGAAAAAAAAATATGTATAAAAAAAAAAAAATTTATCAAGATACCATTGAACATCTATCCAACTCGCCCATAGAACAATATATATATAAAAGATTATATTAAATACAAATAATGTTACGCCACACTGAGGGAAAGTAGAAAGAGTTCGTTGATAAATAAAATGATCATTATTTTCGAAGGCTGAAGTAACGTTCTATGTTGTTTCACTTTCTTTGCCTTCCTCTAAAATAAGGATAGGAATAATAATAATAAAAATAATGGTAAAATAATATTAATAGAAAGGTAATAGAATGGAATAAAATGTAAATATAGATATATATATAGATGTAAATTCGGAATTTTTTACCTTTTTCGATATGTTCAAATCCATCATCTGAATCTTCAATTTTTGAAACTTCGTCTACATTTTCTTTTACATTGTTCTCTACCATTTCATCCTCTTTTTCCACTTCCACATTTTTCTCCTTTTCCAATTCCACTTTTGTCTCCTCTTCCACTTCCACTTCCACTTTCACTTCATTCACCTCCGCTTCCACTTTCACTTCATTCACCTCCGCTTCCACTTTCACTTCATTCACTTCCGCTTCCACTTTCACTTCACCCTCATTCACTTCCACTTCACCCTCTTCCTCTTCCTCTTCCTCTTCATCCTCACCCTCTTCATCGTTACTTTCTGGAGCTTTAATATCTTCAGGTTTCAAATCAAACGAAAGCTCCAAAGAAGCTTCTGTCGTTAATCCTTGTTCAAGAAGTGATTCTGCAAACGAACGATATATATCTTCGGTTGATTCTTTACCATGTTTTGGTTGAATGGTTACTTCTTCCTCGATATCGGTGGAAGTTTTCGGAGGAACTTTATTTTTTTTTTTAAAAAAAAAAAAAAAAATATGTATTTATATATTTTTTTTATATAATTAAAATAATTATCCATAACAATTTATCATAATGGAATTATATCATATAAACAAACTAATTTTCTCTTACATATACGAACCTTTGACAACTATTTCTTCTGGTAAAGGGACATCACCGCAAATTTCGTCAATATCATCCTCCTCAGCTGGGGGTAATGAATAATTAAATGATGAAGAAAATAATACACTTCGACGTAAAGAATTTTTCACGACGGGTCGACGATCTCTACCTTCGGGAATTGGAGCAGGTTCAAGTACTTCATCGTTTACTTCATCCTCATCCTCGATAAGATCTTCGGTAAGATCTTCGCGAAGATTTCTTTGCGTACGTTCTTTATGTAGTTGATCAGCTTTTTCAATAAGACGAGCTACTGCCGGATCAGTTTTTTGACGCCTATGAGCAGCGGCTAAGTTTTTTTTTATATTTTATTTTTGTTTAAAAAAGAAAGATTCGTGTGTTTTAATGGTTAATATTAACCTGACGCACACAATGCGGCACAAGTAGAAACAAACTTACATATAGCAGCTCTTTCTTTTAACCAATTCTTTGAGCCAGCATCGGTAGAGATTTTAGTGGTTGCCATTATTATTATTATTATTATTATTAGAAGAATTCGTTATAACAAACTAAACAATAACTTTTTAAAATGATGACTTCTAATGTTAGCTTCTGACGATACTATATAAAGAAAAAAAAAATTAGGAAATTATGATGAGTTACAATCGGAACCACACGAAATTCCCAGAGAAAAATCCGAAACCCCCGTGACGTACACACACTTCATTCAAAAAAAAATTAACTAAAAAAAGGACTATTTAAAAATTTCAAACTACAAAAAAGTTGCATTATACAAAATTTTCGTCAACATCCCTTCTCATAAAATTCATAAAATCTGTTAAAACCTGGATTTTTTTTAAAAAATATATATATATATATAATCTAAAAATAAAAATAAAATAAAATAATGGAAAAAAAAATAAAAAATAAAAAAAAAATAAAAGTAAATCTAATCACTTACATATAGATATATAGATACATAGATATATATATTATATAGGTATAAATATATTCCGGCTATCTAAAAAAAAACTCTCCTAAAATATATTAACCTTGCTCACAAATTATCTATCTAAATTATTTAAAACTATATCTAAAAAATTAGATTTGAAATTTCCACAATTTAAACTAACTTAAACTATATATATATATAGATCATTTTTCCAACAAAAAACCTCCTTTTTTTTTTAAAAAAAAAAATAAAAATAAAAAATAAAAAATAAAAATAATAAGAATCAGAATAATTCCTTACCTATATTTAATTAGGTTATTTTTTATTATTATTATTATTTTCTTATTTATTTATTTATTTATTAGGAGTTCTTCTTCAACCGCGACTAACTATTAAGTAGATTTGATTCCGAGAATTTTAAACTTAGTAAAAAAATAAACTTGAATAGTAGTAGCGAAAACTTTGCGAATTTGGTAACAACTTAATATTGAGTTGCATCTAATTTTCGCCTATCATCAATCAACTCAATAATCATTGTGAAACTATTGATAAACCACCTGAAACTGGTGAATCAACGATTGGTGGTGGTAGTGGCGGAGTGAAATTTTAAATAATTTAAATCATTCAAAGAGAGATAAATGGAGAGAGAAAATTGAAATTTTTATTTTTTATTTTTTTTATAACAATTAAAACGATACTAACGACGAGTCTAAATAATTTATAGAAATTTATAAATGACTAACTATAATAAATAACTATAATTATTTATTATTTATTTTATTTTTTTTTTTAAGAGAATTAACCTGTTTATCTACTGTTTATATATATAGATCATACGTAATAAATTACTCACGGTGATGAAAAATATTTTCCTTATTAATATGCAAGTAATATTAAGTAATATTTATAAGTAATAAATTAATTAAAATAATTAAAATAATTAAAATAATTAAAAATTTTTTTTATTTTTTCCATAAAAATCGAAATAAATCAATCAAAAAAAAAAAAAAAATCAACATGCAATGCAGACTATACGATATTTTAAGGCACGACAGTAGTTTAACAACATTGTTTTTGTTGTTTTGTCGTTTCATCGTTAATTAAAATAAGAATCATTAATGAAAATGAAATTAAAATAAGGATCATTAATGAAATATATGGATGTTATGTAAAAGTGATTTTGTTTGCTTAAAAATATATATTCATTCATTTTTTATATCATTAAACACATATTAAACACATTATGATGATGATGATATTTACATTTTATTTATTTTTTTTTTAAAAAAAAAATCTGCATATTTACAGTACAATAATAATTAAAACAATATCAAGATAGAAAATAATAACAGTACAGTAAATGAATTAATTTATTGCGGGGTTTTTTTTTTCTTTCAATATACAGTACAAATATACAGGCATTCCTACAAATACAATTTTTTATAATTTATAATTTTCATGATTGTTGTTGTTGATTATGATGATGATAATGTTGTTGTTGTTGTTGTTGTTGTGAGACTATTATTTGTGGTTCAGCTTCTAATGAAAGAGCCATTAATTCAGCTTCAAGTTCACCTCCATCAGACATTGCGATCGATGCCACGTTGCCTCCAAACATTGCACCCGCTGCTTCAAATAATCTTTTCTCTATAACTTCTCCAATATAATCTAATAATGTCGAATTATTATTATTATTATTACTATTATTAATTATACTTGAATTATTCGATGATAATAATGATGAGGCAATAATTTTATCATCATTAAAATTGTTCATTGTTGTTGTTATTATTTGTGATGACGATGATCGTTGTTTTAATAAATGTGTTAATGATAATTGACTTTCGAATGAATAAGATTTAGCTGTATATCGTGCGATCGTATAAACATTTTTAGTGAGTAGACGAAATTTATCAAAATTTATTAATGATTGTGAAATATTTGGTGTTTCTTTTATGGATAATTCCGAAAGTTCAATATCATTGTTATTATTATGATTATTATTATTTTCAATGTTTGATGATGATGATGATGTTGTTGTTGTCGTCGTCGTCGTCGTTGTTTTCATTCTAAATTGTTTTTCTCGTTGATGTCCGGTTGGAAGGAATGTATGATTTCCCTCCATGATAAATGTTAAATCCTTAAGGAAGGTTGCTATCAAAAATAATAATAATAATAATAATAATAAAATAAATTATAAATAAGATGTTAATAAAATTTAATAAAAGAAAATAGTGGAATAAACATATATAAATCTATATTAATGATGATGAGAAATAAATTTACCAAAAAATGGAACTATCGGAGGTGTCGCCTGCGCCAAAGTATTTCGATATTTTCGCATATTTCCTGAAGAATCAATAAGTTCTTCGATAAATTGAAGATTCAAGAGTGCTTGATGTGATAATGTTTCCCAAGTTTTTTCAAGTCGACGTACTGGTCGTGAATTTAAGGCCAACGCAATAAACATTGCTGTATGAAAATTATTCCATTCTAAACAATACTTTTATTATTTATTATTATTATTTTTATTATTTATGTATGTTGTGTGTGTGTGTGTGTGTTTGTTGTGTGTGATGATAAGAATAGAATTTTAAGATTTTAGTTTTAAAGAGAATTTAAGAATTAAAGAATTTTAATTTTTTTTTTTTATTTTCTATCACTAACCTTGGCAGTTTCGATGAATTTTTGAAGAATCAAACGTCTATCTTTAACCGTTTTTAAACTACACACTTCATGTGCTATCCAATGACTTAACTATAAAGTTTAAAATAATAATAATAATAATAATAATAATTAATCATAAAATTTAATGCGATATAATAAAATAAATTAAATTATTATTTTTACAACATACCATATTAGATCTTCTAGTAAATGTATCCAATTTACTTTCCTCCTCTAATCCAAATAATTGATGATCTTTAAGTGCGGCATTTGGACTTCCCCCAGTTTCAAATGCTTGTCTCTTACGCCACCAGACCGTAATGAAATCAAAAAATGTTATAGATTTTAATGCATAAAAATCCATGAGGGTTAAATATTTTGCAATATTTTTGGCTTCAAATTCTAATAATGGGGAAGTTTCATTTAATGTTGTTGATGATGACAGTGATAATGATTTTTTGGATAAATAATAATGTTTTTGATTTGAAATTAAACGTTGTTGTTGTTGTTGTTGTTGAATTGGTTGTTGACTTTGCTGCTGGCTTTGCTGTTGACTTTGCTGTTGACTTTGTTGTTGACTTTGTTGTTGACTTTGTTGTTGACTTTGTTGTTGACTTTGTTGTTGTTTTTGTTGTTTTTGTTGTTCTTGTATGGAGGAAGTGTTGTTACTGTTTGTCTAAAAATTTAATTTAATAATAATAAGTTAAAATTTTAATTATGATTAATAATGATTAATAATATTTAAATAATTGATATTAATAATAATAATTATTAATATTTACCAAAAATTTTTGTATAATTTCGAATTCATTTTGAAACTCTCCTGGTTTAGAAACTTCATCTTTCAAGAATCTTTTTAATTGATTACATAATTCTGGATCAAATCGAAAGTTTTGAGGTTGTAAAGTTATCCAACGAATAAGAACTGCCAAAACTCTAAAAAAGATAAATAAAATTTTAAATTTTAAATACAAAATATAATAAATAAATAATAATAATAACAATAATAATATTATTAATAAATAATAATAATAATAATAATTAATTACTTTTTTCGGATTGATAATCCTTTATTTGTCGTCGTCATTGATCTGTATTCATTGAATCTCGAGATCATATTCTCCAATAATACTTTTGAACTTATGAAAAACACATGATTCAAAACAAAACAATCGATAAATTCGTTATCTATAAAATTTATAATATAAATTATTTTGTTTATTTCTTAATTAATTAATTAATTAATTAATTTGTTTGCTTAAAGATTACCTTGTTCATTTTCATCTGCTAATCGAAGTATTAATTTATCGAGAGTTCCCGCCAAAATTTTGGGACTTTTTTTTTTTTTTTAAAAAAAAAATATAATGATTAATAATGAATTAAATTTAATATTTAAAATTTAATCTAAATTTTTTATTTTTATTTTAATTTTACCTTCCATCGGCAATTTCGGTTAATAATCCATCTTGACTATAAACAGTATTGTTGTTATTTAAATGTGAGATTGGATGTGAAATAGAATCTATTGGTTTGTCTTCTGCTATTTGAGCTAATTCTTTTTCCAATGAAAAAGAATTACTTGTTCCTGGCTGAAAAAAAAATAAAAAAATAAAAAAATAAAAAAAAAAATAAATATCAAAATAAATAAATATCAAAATAAAAAAATAATAAAAATAAATATCAAAATAATAATTATCAAATTCGAATAAAAAAAAAACAAAAGAAATAAAAGAAAAGAAAAGAAAAGAAAAGAAGAAATAAAATAAAATAAATAAATTTAATTTTGTTACCTCATTAAGACGTGAAAAAAATACATTTGAAATTTTAATCATATTACCTAGACTTGATTTTTTCTTAACATTTAAATTCGTTGAACTTTTTTTAGTAACAATCTTTCTAAATAATTGTTCACGAAGATTACTCGTATCATTATTACCACCACTACCACCACCAACTTCCGTTATTACATTATTAACATTATTAACATTATTATCAATATTATTAGGTGTTAAGAAAGTTGTTGTTGTTATTGTTGTTGGCAATTCACCGGAATTCTTTGATTGTAAATTTTGAGTCACTGGATTTAAAGTATTATTACGATTATTCTTTGTCCACATTTTTTTCATACTTCTTAAATCCGGATCACTATTAATTTTATGTAATTTAGGCCTATTATTTAATAAAGTTGATTTTCGAAGTAAAAGATTTGAAGATGAAGTAGTGAGAGGAGGATGAGATTTGTCATCGTTGTTGCTGTTGTTGTTGCTGTTGTTACTGTTACTTTTTTTAGATTGTTTATTATTATTCGAATGAGAGGAATTACTATTACTACTATTACTATTACTATTATTATTACTATTATTACTATTAGATTCATCAATCATTATTGAAGCATCATCAGTTACTGGCCAATAATTTGTTATTCCTCCATTTCTTGATGTAATATTGGTATTGAATGTCGAATGATCATTTGAAAAATGGGAAAGATTTGAAAGATGAGAAAGATTAATATTAAGATGTTTTAGAAAATATGATTTTATTCTAGAATGAGAAAGTTTTTTACGAGCTTTAGATTTCGAAATTGAAGTGGATGATAAATTATTATTATTATTATTATTATTATTATTATTATTATTATTATTACTGCTATTGTTATAATTATCTACTAATGAAGATGAAGAATTTGAAATTTTATATAGAGAATGAGTTGATGATGGAGATGGTGGAGGTGATTTATGAGATAAGTGACGATGATGGTGATGATGATGATGATGATGATGATGATGATGAGAAGAAGAAGAAGAAACCATTCTAGATGATAAAGGTGTTATCTTTGGCATACGAGGTGAAGGTGATCCTCTATTACTACTACTACTGCTATTATTATTATTATTATTGTTATTATTATTATTATTATTATTATTATTTAATGATGGTGATGATGAAGAAGAATGAATAATTGTGGTTGATGTTTTAGATTGTTGTTGAAGTTGTTGAAATTGCAATTGTTGTTGTGAGGAAAAATCATCAAGTTGTTCTTTAAATTTAGAATTACGTGTAGGAGTTTTGGGAATTTTTGGAGTATTTGGAGTAATTGGAGTAATTGGAGTAATTGGGGTTTTGGGAGTATTTGAAGTATTTAAAGTACTACATGAATTACTCGTACTTAAAGTATCAGAAGGTGTAGTATAATTATAATTATTATTATTATTATTATTATTATTATTATTGTTTTTATTGCTTTTATTGTGACTGGTGTCTATGGAGAGTAAAGAAGAATTCTTTCTTCGAATATTTTGAATACTTTGAGAATGAGTCGTTGCTGATTGACGATGTAATAAACCTAATCTATTATTATTATTATTATTATTATTATTATTATTATTATTATTATTATTATTATTATTATTATTATTATTGATATTGATATTGTTGTTGTTGATGTTGTTGTTTTTATTAATATTATTGTTGTGGTTATGATTATTATGATTATAATAGTTATATGTTGAAGATGGAAAAGACGGTGAAGAAGGTGGAGAAGAAGAAGGATTTTCGGAAAACATTAATTTCCTAATTCTTGCAGGTGCAGTAGCGGCAGATGCAATTGATACGTTGGAGGCATATGAACCGACACTACTGGAATCTATACTTTTATTTCTCTGTAAATTAAATAACAAATATAAATAGAAATAAATGTAAATAGAAATAAATATAAATAGAAATATAAGTATATATATATATATATGTGTGTGTGTGTGTCATTCCGATTTTTTAAAAAATAATTCATGACTGTATATATAGAAATGGATATAAGAATTTATATATTACCGTTCGTTTACTGTAATTTAATGTTTCATTACTTTTTTGATTACGCGAAAATAAGGATCGTCCGCGTTCAAATCTGAAACTATTTCGACCACTTAAACGATCTGAACGATCTGAACGATCCGAATAATTGGAATTTTCATCATATTTACAATTACTTTTCACCGACGAATTCGAAGAAGCTGAATGTCGTTTAAATGATCTAAGACTTTTTAATACCTTTTTTTTAACTGTCAAAATAAGTAAAAATAAATAAGTTAAATAAGTTAAATAAGTTAAATGAAATTAAATAAGCAAAAATAAGCAAAAATTAAGTCACGTAAAAAATAGAATAATAATATTTACATGAATTCTTTTCTCTGTAAGGAAAAGAAAGAAAGAAATTAATAATGAGTTAATAAGTTAATAAAATTAATAATAATAATTAAATTAATAAAATCAAAATATATAAATATATATATATATATATATAATGACATTAACATACTTTTGATAAGGTTTCTCCATGGGAAGTGTTACTAATACAATTTCATTTGAGGAAAGAGATTAATAATAAATAAATGTTAAAGAGAAGCAAAATAAATAAATAAAAAAAAAAAATCAAATAATTAAATAATAATTGCTCACATTCTTCATGAATCATAACTGGTAATTTCGATTGAACAAAAGTTGCAAACAAATTAATAGCTTCCACTAATCGATTTGAATGTACAACTAATTTATCATATAATACTTGAGTACATTCGGATAATAAATCATCAGATTTTTCACCATTTTCATTTTGATTACTATTATTATTATAATTAACATTATTATAATAATAATTATAATAGCTATTACCATTATTATTATTATTATTATTATTATTGTTGTTGTTGTTGTTGTTGTTATTATTATTACTAGAACCTCCACCTCGTGTAATAATCTTTTTAATATATCTTAATACAGTTTCAGCTTCACTTGAAACTCTTTCATGTAATGAATGATATTTATCCAATTCCATTGAATCAATAATTCTAATCATTAATTCTTCATTATGCATTGATAAGATGGATCCAATGATGGTGGTAAAAAGGGTGGTGGCACTTAAAACCTTTAATAAAGATGATGAGGAAGAAGAATTTGAATAAGATGATGAAGGAGGATAACCACATTTGGTTGAAGAAGTAGTTGAAAATGTTGAAATATCAGAAAGAAATGTGGAAATTGAAAGATGTGATCTTGAACTGGTGGTAGAATAATGTGAATTTCTATTGTTGGTTTTATTATTATTACTATTGCTATTATTATTATTATTATTATTGTTATTATTATTATTATTATTATTATTATTATTATTATCAGTAATAGAAGTAGGAGATGATGAAATCTCTTCGGAATTTTCTACATATTCAGGAATAGCTGATAATGCATTCATTGCTGAAATTGTATTAAGAGTATTATTAGAAGTATTACTTGTAGATACTCTAACTATAGTTTCTAATTCTTCTTCTTGAATTATTGAAGATGATGGACGTGATGATGATACATTAATATTATCTTCTATCATCATCATATTATTATTATTATTATATTTAATAATTGAATCATTATCATCATAATCATTTACATTATCCACACCACCATTATTATTAATTTGATTATTATGATTATTACTACTACTATTATTATTATTATTAGTATGACTAATATAATTATTATTATTATTATAATGATTATTGTTGTTATCATCGAAATTATGTTCATAGTCATGCCTTGATTTGTTGGGTGTATTTGAAAGTAATAATGTTGGAACTAATATTAATATTGACATTATAGCTGATTCTAATGTTGTAAAAGGACTCTAAAAATAAAAAAATAAAAAATATAATAAAAATAATGAATCAGATTTTTTTTTTCGTTTAGAATCACGTGTTATATATAAAACGTAGTTTGGTTAAAGTAAACGTACCTGCCATTCACCATTAGCCAATTTTTGATTAAATATATAAAATTTTTCGGTTCTTTGTAAAATTCTAAGTTTATCCAATACAAATTTAACATCTTCCGGTAAATGAAGATAAAGTAATTCACTTGCATCATGTAATTGTTGATGAATATCATTATCATCATTATCATCATAATAAATGTGCGTTGAACTTGAATTGGCGATACTTGTCTTATCAATTTCTCCTCCTCCACCGATACTACTAACGATACTACTACTATTGACTTTATTCTTATTTTTATTATTATTATTATTATTATTATTGTTGTTGTTGTTATTGTTGTTATTATTATTATTACTATTAATATTTTTATTTTTATTTTTATTGTCACCGCCACCTTCATTTTTTACATTATTTTCAATGATAATGGTTTTTTGGAGTGACGGCTTACTCTTTTTGGATAATGCATTATTTGAATCGATGGAAAACAAACTTTTGACGCTTTTCCAAGCCATGTACATATAATATATAATATATAATATATAATCTATACGTATATAAAAAAATGAATTTGGTGTGGGAATATGTAAAAATGGTGTGTGAATTGATTTGAATTAGTGTGGTTTGAAATTTTTAGTGCGTATGAAAAAAATGTACTAGAATAAAATTGGATTTATGATTTCAACAAAAAAAAAGATATTGGGAGAAGGTTATATATGAGGTTATATGTACGTTTTTTTTAGCTGTAGATTACGTAGTAAATGAAAAAATTCAAAGGGAAAATAATAAAAAAAATAAAAACTGTCCGTCAAAAAAAGAATTAAAAAAATGAAAATTTTTGATTGATTGAATTAATTGTTTGTTTAATAGATTTGTAAAATTATTAAATTTTTCACGAGTCTTTTTTCCTTTTTTTTTTTTTTTCTTCTTTCCTTCTTATTTTTCTTCTTTTCTAATAAGAATTATTATTATCTTATTGTATTTGTTATTATTTATTATTATTATTTTTATTTTTTTTTTCGATATAGTTACATGTATTAAGAATAATTAATAAGGGGGGAAAATGCAGGAATGTCCTTTTGATATACTCGTTTTAATAATAATAATGAAATAATATAATAATGTAATATATTAATTATTATTATTATTATTATTATATTATTCTTATTATATTATTATTATTAATTATTATGGTTTGTTTTATTTTTATGTATGTATGTACGTAAGGAAAAAAGAGAATTTTTAATTGTTGATATATAAATGTGTATGATAATTTGTTGTCGTTGTCGTGTGTGTGCGCGCACGAGTTATATAATGTGCGTGAGCGGCGCGCGAGTTATTATAATGTTTTATATGTATGATGTGTTTTTTTTTTATGAGGTTTGCGAATTTTTAATGAAAAATAATAATAAAATTTTATTTTTAATGAAATTATTAAAAAAAAGAGACTTTTGAGAGAATTTGTAAAATGAAGTGAATGAAGTAGAATTTATGGAATTGTGGAATTGTGGAATTGTAGAATTGTTGTGGTGGGAATTTTGAATGAATTTTGGTTTTTTATTTTTATTTTTGGAATTCTAAAAAAAGAGTTTTTATGCGCCGCGAAACAGAATTAAAATTAGATTTCAAAAAAATAAAGATAAAATTTAGATTATGATTATTGTGATTGTGATGATTATTTATTATTTATTATTATCCAAAATGAAAATGCTTGATTTTGTTGTTGTTGTAAATGATGTTTTGTGTCGTAAGATTTTTAATGTACCGATTAGAGATATTTTTAATATATTACCACTAACTTAATATTTATTAACTACTGTTTTATTTATTTTAAATGGACAGTAGGTAATATCAAGTAAGTGATTTTTTTTTTCGCGCCAAAAATAAAAAAAAGAAATAAAAAATAAAAATAAAGAAAAAACGGGATATTTATGTGAACCAACTAAACTTCGAAAGTAATCGGACCGATTTTTTTTTTAATATAATTATTCGGAAGAGAGAGAGAAAAAAATAAAACAATAATTGTTGTTGTTGTTGTTGTTGTTGTTGAAGAATTATTGTGAAAAAAAAAGAGAATTAAAGAATTAAGAGTGAAAAAAAAAACTGCTTTTCACTATTAATACGTGCGTAGAGCTTGATATTGTGAGTAATTGGGTGAAAAAGGAATCTGTGAGGAGGATAATAAAGGGAATTAATATTATAATAATAATAATAATAATAATAATAATAACATAAATATTATTACTATAATTATAATTATGATAATATTATAAGAAGGAATAATGATGTTATTATTATATTATTATAATAATAATATAAGGACAAACAAGAAAGGAATTAAAAAAAGGGTCGAACGAAAATTGGGAGTTTATGTACTAAAATATCTTGAAGGCTAATTTGTCTTTAATACCGAATGCAATATATATTTAATACTGTTGACACAGTCGTAGTATTTAATTTTAGACCGTAGTATTTTTTAGTATTTTAGGATATTCGACCAAGTATTATTTTAGATAAACGACGGAATAGGATTAATAAATCAGCCGAACAAAAAAAAAAATGAAAAGAAAAATGAATTATTTGAGAAAAAAATAAATTTCGATTTTGATTTTTTTTTTTTTTTTGAACTCAAAAAAAAAGTGAGGGATATTTTATATACAAATGTTTTTTTTTATTTATTTCTCTCTTTTGTAAAAAAGTTATTATTATTATTATTATTATTTATTATGTTTTATTATGTTTTATTATTATTTTTATTATGTTTTATTATTATAAAATTTTTTCCTGTTCATTTTATTTACATTCAAAAAAAAAAAATATAATAATAGATCAATGGAAAATTGAATTTACAAAAAATGTAATATAACATGGACGAAAACCTAGAAAAAAAAAAGTCATCGAAAAAAAATAAATAATCGTGTTGTTTATTATTATTGTTACTTTGTTATTAGTGGTATGTATATGTTTGTTACTTATGGTTGTAGATTTGCTATTATGTCTTTTTTTGCATGTGGTTTTAAAACGTTTTAAAAAAAAAACAAAAAAATAAATAATTTCGAAAATTCGGATAACCGAAAAAAATAAATAAATAGGCTTTAACATAAATATTATTATTATCACTACCAACATTTTGACGATCTTGATTTCGATGGTAAATAATGTAAATAATGTAAATAATGATACGAATACAAAACTTAAAATATAACCCAATTTACCAAATAAAGGAAAAATTTTTTTGTTTATAATAATTAAATAGGCAAGTTGCGAGAGAGCGAATTTTGTGTAAGGTTGTTGAGAGAGATGAGATGTGGATGTGTGCGTTTTTTTTTTTGTGTTGCGGTGGAGACGCGGGATGTGAAAGGTTTATGTAAAAAAAACGTGAAAGGTTTATGTAAAAAAACGGGAAAGGATGTAAAAGAGATGGAAAGATATTTCGTAAGATTTTTAAAGGAGGGAAAAAAAATTCTTGATATGATGAACCACACAGAAAGTAAGAAAAAAGAAAAAAAAAGGAAAAAAGGAAAAAGGTAAATAATTATATAAATAAAACATTATTTGACCAGTAATTAGTTTATGATGTTTTTAATTTTTTTATTTGTTTATCGTTTTAACGCTCTATTCATTCTCTTTCTTTATTTATTTTATTTATTTTTTTTTTTTTTTTATTTTTTTCCCTGATTTATAACTTTAAACAAATTGCAATTTGATTATATTATACATGATGTCACGTATATTGAATTCCCAATATAATTATCCATCATTTAGTTCCAATCATCTTATTTAAAAAATTTATGCAGGGAGAACAACCACGTGGAGAAATAATAATAAAATAAATAATAAAATAATAAAATAATAAAATAATAATAATAATAATAATAATAATAATAATAATAATAATAATAATAATAAAATATCATAATGATAAAAACAGATTGTTCCAGCAAGGTCTTTCCTCAAGTTTATTAATTAAGAAAATGGAGTGGTATCCAAGTTAACGCTATACATAGTTTTCTATATTACTACAGAAGCCCATGGAAGTTAACCCACTTACGCTGGGAATGATAAAAACAGATAATAATAATAATAATGATAATAAATTATAAAAAATAACATTTATTGGTATTGATTATTTAATTTATTTTATTTATCCTTTTTTTTTTTTTTTTTTTTTCCTTTCTTTTACAAACACTGTCAAATACAACGCATAAACAACACATAAACATACATCTCTCTTTTTGATTACTATTACTACTATTACTACTTCTTCTTCATTCATTCTTTAACAGTTCTGGTGGTAGTTACATAATGTATATAATATATATATATTTTGAATATAAATATATAGTTGAATATATTTGAATAAAATTAAATAAAATAATTGAATATAATAATCGAATATATGTTTGAATATTAATTTTATTCGTTATTACACATTTGACAAATAAATGATAACTGTAATAATAAACAAGAAATAATAAAATAAATAATAAATAAACAAGAATTAAAACTGGTAATTATATAAATTAAATATACTGGCTTTTGTTGATTTTTTTTTTTTTTTAATCCAGACTTGACGTATTAATTATTATTTTAATTAACAATTTAATTAGACTTGAAAGTAATAAAATTTGAAGAATCTCACTTTTAAAATCATCCTTGCAAAACTTATAAAAACTTTATTCAAGAAAAATAATTGAACAAGAGATATCATTTTTAAGTTATTAACTAACTTGTTGTCTCCCTCCAAAAGTCTTTCATATGTTTTTTTTTTTTTAATTAGTTAGTAGTTTAAGGAAAATTATTGTTTTTTTTTTACGGTCAGCTCATGTGATAATATGTGACAATACGTGTGACAATTGACAATATGTGACGATTTGATTAGATATATATAGCATTGAATAATTAATTTACGAAGATCCCAAGATTATCTATTGTTATATTGCTATGGAGACTATGGAAATTGAATCAGGTACAGATTCTTCGGATTCTTCTGTTCCATTATTGAATGAAACTTCCGAAATGGAATTTGAAATTAATAACAAGGTATGTTCGTCTTGTTTCACTTTTTATTTTATTTATTTATTTAATTTTTTATATTAATTCTTTTCTTTTGCATTTCTCTGGTTGCTGTTATCCCCCTTTTTTTTAATTGATTAAGTCAGCGTTAAGAAAAAATTACGATCAAATAAAACTTGATGTACCTTGGGTCGAGACCCAATCAATTGTTTCTTCGGAACCTTCCATGATCGATGATATTAATAATGACGTGGAACGCGAATTGACATTGTGAGCATTTATTATTATTGTGTAATAATAATAATAATAATAATAATAATAATAATAACGATAATAATAATGATAATAATAATAATGATAATAATAATCAATAAAGTAATTAATTAATTAATAGTTATAAACAAGCACTCGAAGCAACGATAGAAGGACGAAAGAAACTGATGACCTCCGGAATTCCATTTTCTCGACCGGATGATTATTTCGCGGAAATGGTTAAATCCGATGAACATATGTCAAGGATAAGGAGAAAATTAATTGATGAGGAACAAGGAATTAAAGCGAGTGAAGAAGCCAGGCGTCAAAGGGAATTAAAAAAATTTGGTAAAAAAGTTCAAGTGATGAAAATTCAAGAACGACAAAAACAAAAAAAAGATGAATTGGAAAAAATCAAACTTATGAAGAAAAGTTAGTATCATCATTATTACCATTATCATCATTATTTATTATAAAATTTAATTTAATATTTCGATAATATTTTAATATTAAAAAAATTTAGAGCGAAAAGGTGTAGAAGATACTGCTGTGGATGATGATTTTGAAATTGCATTGGATGAAGCAGCTGCTGAAGATAATAATAATAGACCAAAGAAACTACAAAAAACTGGGCGCAATAAAAAACGTGTCATGAAGGTATTGTATAGATGATAATTGATTAATTAATTAATTATTTAATTAATTAATTGATTATTTATTTATTTATTTAATTATTTAAGTTATTTAAAATTATTATTAATTATTTTTAATATGATTTTAATAAAATTATAAAATAAAAAATTTAAAAGGATACAAAATTTGGATATGGTGGAAAGAAACGATTTGCCAAATCAAATACTGCGGAATCTTCTGGTAACATTCCTATATTCGATACAAAAAATATTAAGAAAGGTTTGAAGGTATGAAAATATTTATCATATTTAATGTTTTTATATTACATTTATATTTATATTATATTTATATTTTATTTTATTATATTAATTGTTGTTGTAGAATTCAAATGATTCAAATTCAAATCCAAGATTATCCAAAAAAAAAATTATAAAGAGTCGACCCGGTAAAGCTAGACGTCAAAAGGAAAGAAAAAATAAAAAATAGAGTTAATTTTTTTTTTTTTAATTTGTAATTTACACAATTGAATTAATTTTTGAATTTTTTGAATATTTTGATTTATTTAAGTTAAAAAAAAAGGGATCTTTTGAAATAAAATAATATTATCATTATCTGTTGTTGTTTTTTCTAATATTATTATTTCCTTTTTAATTACTAACCACCAAACTATTAACTAAACTATTTCAACTATTTCAATTAATTCAACTGGTTTCTATTTAATCTTATTAATAATAAAGTCTTTACTAAAAGAGAAAAAATAAAAAATAAAAAAAAAAACTCCCAAATATGATCATTGTCATCATCATCATACTTCTTCAGTATCCATAGGTGCAGCTTGACCTTGTTCTTCTTCTTGAATATCTTCAGTATCAACAACATTCTCTAATAAATTTAAAAATCTTTGTAATTCATCTTCCTCTATAATTTTAAATTTATAATCCACACCAACTATTCCAATTGAACAATTAAAAGTGTTAAGTTCTTTATCTTGTTGTAATGTATCACGTAAAGCATGAAGACCGTGTCGAACTAATTCATCAAGTGATGCTATTATATAAATAAATTTATTTATTTATTTATTATTTGAAAATAAATATTTATTAATATAAATTTTAACACACACAAAACGCAAAAACACACAACAAAACAAAAATTATAAAATACACAAAAAATAAAAAAAAAAAATAACAGAAAAACAACGAAACACACACATACCTTCAGCAAAACTTTCATAATGTTTTTCCAAATAAGTTTTGGCTGACTGTGAACGAGCACCAATCGACATTGCATAATATTCAAAGAAGTTTCCCGAAGGTGCACATTCATACAAATGTGGACCGGTTTCCTATTTATATTATTAAAAAAAAAATTAACTAATTAAAATTTGATATCAAATTAAGAAAAAATGTCGAATAAAGTGAATAATAATAATAATAATAATAATAATAAAATATTCATATTTATCAAATATTCTTCTTCTTACATCATATCCAATGACCAAAAGTCCAACCCCATATGGTCTGCGTCCATAATTTTGCGTGTTCACTTGAGCCTCTAAAAATAATTAATAATGAAAAAAATAAAATAATGAAATTAAAAATATATATAAATAAAAATTAATAATCGGGAATCAAAAAAAAATGAGGTTCAAGAATTAAAGAAAAACGTACTATCGCCAATGGCAGAAACAATACGATAAATGGGTAAAGGTCGATTAAATAACGCTCTAGATTTCATAGCTTCAGTACGCATAAAATTACTATTATGGAATTATAGAATTAAATTGTTTTTAAAGTATTAAAGAAAAAAAAAAGGAAGAAAGATTGATGTTAATTATAATAATGAATGAATGGCTACCCGACGTGTTAAACTTTTTTTTTTAATTTTTAATTTTCGTTTAATTTTTAATTTTTAATTTTCTTTTAATTTTCTCCCAATAATAATATATATATATATATATTTATTTATTTAATACCTCAAAACTCTTGCGTCTGACATTAAACCAGCGATAGCCGCACCCATATGATCATCAATTCGAGTAATCTTTTTCTGATAAGAAGCCAAGTCCCCGGGAGATCTCTGTTAATATCATTTATTAAAAAAAAAGAAATATCACCAAAAATAAATTTTTTTGTTTTTTTTTTTATTTTTTTTTTTAATAATATTTATTTAATTTTATTATTATTAATTTTTATTATTAATTTTTATTAAATTTTATTACAGTACTTTCAACACCAAAAGAATGGCGTGCGTATTCGAACGAAGGCCAACTGACGCTGATCCTTGTTTCACGGCTTCCAATGCATATTCTATTTGATGAATTCGACCTTGAGGACTCCATGTAGAAATATCATTATCATATTGGTTACGAAACTACATAAAATAATAGAAATCTCCATTTGAATTTTTCATATGATTTATTTTATAATTACTAAAAAAAAAAGTTGAAAAAATATAACAATACCATTATGCTAGAGTAAAGATTAAAAAGGATTGATGACGCAAATTGTCATATATATTTTACTGATGTAAAAAAACACGTGCACATCACATATCGTTGAAAAAAAGGGAAAAAAAAAGATTATTTTTTTTTTAAAAGAAAATAATAATGGAATCTAAAAAGACTACAGTAGTAGATGAGGAATTGGACGGATTAGATGACATTTTAGATGGTTAGTTTAAATTTATATTACTTCTTTCCCTTTTCTTAGTTTTGTATCAAATTAACAAAACCACTTTAAAAACACACACACACACACACACACCCCACGTCTCAGAGGTTTTGGACGACTTTTCTTCTTCGTCCACTTCTAAAAATCAATCATCATCAAATAAACCTTCTACTTCATCTAGTTCTGAACAATTTCCTTCGTCAACACTTTCAAGTTCTAATGATGAAATAGATCCATTATCACAAATTGATGAAGAATACGTTGCACAATTAGCAGCTGATATGGAAGATTTCGTAAAACGATTAGAAGGTGATGAAGAATTAAGACGCGCATTTCAAGGATTCATGGGTTCAGTCGATGTAGAAAATCAAAATGAAGTTAATAATAATAATAAAGATATAAGTACTGGAAGTAATGAAAGCAATGGAATTAAAAACAATAACAACAACAACAATAACAACAATAATAATAATTTTAATAATAATATTGATAATATTAATAATCTTATTAATAATCTTAATATTAATGGAAAACTTAATGAATCTCCTACTAAGGAAGGATCATCGTCATCATTTCAAGATAAAATTAATCAGACATTAAATAAATTACAGAATAGCTCGAATCAACTCGATGTATGTGTATTCTTTAATTCTATCATATTCAAATGTCAAATCTTTTTTTAAATTAAAATCATCATCATCATTATTACTATGATTATTATGATTATTATGATTATTATGATTACTATCATCATTAGGCAGAAATTTCAGCAGAAGAAATGGATGATATGTTAGGGGGAGATATGGATCAAGTATTAGAATTGATGATGAAATCATTAACGACAAAAGAATGTTTATATGAACCAATGAAAGAATTTGGGCAAAAAGTAAGCATCGATAAATTTTTATTTTATTAATATTTTATAACAATTATTAATACTATAATTAACGATCAAGAATCATCATCATTTCTTTACAATTAATATATAATATATATATATATATAAATATAAATATATAATATATTCGATATATTGTAAATATCTTGAATTAAGTATCCAAAATGGTTGGAAGAGAATAAAGGTAAAGTACCGATAAGTGACTATAATCGATATGAAAAACAATCGGAATATATTCAAAAAATTATCGAGAAATACGAAGCACCGAATTTTGATGAAAACAGTGAACAGAATAAAGAAATCGTAAATTTAATGCAAGAAGTAAGTTAATAATAATAATAATAATAATAATAATAATAATATTTATTTTATTTATTTATTTATTAATTAATAATATTATTATTATTATTTAAAATTAAAATTAATTTTATTATAATATTTTAAAAGTTACAAGACTTTGGACAACCACCTGCTGAAATTCTAAGTGAATTAGCACCAGGGGTTGAATTGGATGAACAAGGAATGCCAAAATTATCAGCAGCTGATTTATCTGCATGTAAAACTATGTAGAAAATCAAATCTAATTTTTTCTCTTTAAAATATTTTTTTTAGCAAATTGTATAAAAAAATATTTTGAAATAGTTTACCATTGTTCTTAAAATTCATTCTACATTTTTATATATTTAGAATATTAGCATATTTTGTATTATTATTATTATTATATATATATATATATATTTGAATTCATGTTTGGATGTAATTTAGATAATAAGTGTTATTTATGAGTATTATTATGAATTTTTTTGAAATAATTTTTAAAAGAACAAACAAATGATAAGGTATTATTATTATTATTATTGTTTTTAATCACTTTGAATTACTTTTGCTTCATCCCAAAAATAATTATATTATTTTTTTTTTATTATTATTACTATTATTATTATTATTATTATTTATATCTAAAAAAATAATATTTAGTGAAAGTCCATGTTCCTGCTGTGGCTGCGCAAATTGCAGAAGCAATTGCGGAAGTTTTTATACCAGCTATCCAAATCATATTTTAAAAAAAAAAAGAAAATAATAATTAAAAAAAAAATAATTAAATCAAAAAATAATGAAAATAAAATGTAACATATATCAACAAATGTTAATTCTTATTATTATTATTATTATTTATATCAATAAAAACAAATTACCTGTGGATTTAAAGATTGCACCTATTAAAGCACCTGATGCAATATTATTTATAGCATCTTGTCTACCTCTCATAGTTCCAATTATACCATTAATTCCATTATAACCCAAAGCTAACAAAATATACATAATTAACTTTTACAAATTATAAATTTATTATAATTCAATAATATATATTTTATATATATATAAATATAAATATATATATATAATATATATATTATATATTTAAAATACCTAATACTCCACACGAATTTCCAATAAATGGTCCACGCCTTGTTACAGAATTAAGTACTGTATTCAATCTTAATTTAAAATTTGGTGTATGTCCACGTAAACCTTCCATTAAACCCCACATTCCACCAAACGATAACCCTATCAATTAATTTATTAAATTTATTAAAATTATTCATTCAATCAAATTTTTAAATTATTTTTTATCAAAATGTTTTAAAAAAAAAAAAAAAATGTATACCAGTTAAATATGTCGTTCCAGTTCCATAACACAAATCGTCCATCACTCCTCGACTTGGAATTGCACCAGGTGTAACTCCTTGTTCGTCAAGTTTTATATAATCAATTGCACCAAGACCAGTAAGCTCCTTTATCTGTTGTGAACCTAAGTTAACTCTTCCCAAAAAATCTGTCACGTCTATTTGTTCTTGACCAGGTTGATCCGGTGCTTTATAAAACCCTCCTTCATGTGGATTGTTTTGTGTTAAAGACATTTTATTTATTTATTTATTTTTTTGTTAAAAGTTTGAAAAAAAAATTTTTTTTTTTTTTTTTTTTTTACAGTACAAACTATTATTATTGATATCTCAAAAAAAAAAAAAAAAAGTTGTCAATTTAAACTGGGATAGTCATGTGCGATGATAAAAATGAGGAACACGTGCTTTATGACTAGAACATCACGCGATATTATCGATCAATCGACTGAAGCGAAATTTCGAGACAACTTTTATATCTCCTTTGAGTTTCTTTTGATACGTAGTATGAAAGGCTCTTAGAGTCCTGAGAAAAGATAAAACTCATTCAACTAGAGTGGACATCTTAAGCGCTGTTCTGTGATTAATAGTATTTTCAACTTCTATCGCAAGTCAAAATATTAAAGGGTAGCTATCTTCTGTTACCTCAATAGATAGTTTGGGTTTGAAGTAAAAAACCCTAATTCTTAAGTTATTATTACAAATTGAATTATGAGTCAGATTAAAATCTAAAGTAATTTCGAAAAAAAAAAAATTTAATTTTTTAAATAGGTCAATACTCTACGAAAACCACCGTGATTGGATTCCTATCAATGAAAGCAAATCGAATAATCTGTGAATTGATAAAAAAAAAAATCCAATCACTAGTTATTGAAGTTATTGAGGCAGCCATCGTTAAAAGTTTTTTATTATTAGCATCTTTGGATTGGTTACGTGCAGATCTATTTATGGTGATCTTAACAATTTTTTCATATGGACTGATTTGTTTCACTTCGATTATATCACCTGCTAATGATATACATTCAATTTTGTCACCTGGAACTGATCATCAACTTAACCAATAAAATTATAATTATTGAATTATCGATTATAAATAACACTGTGCATGTTCATTGAACTGTAGATCATATAGAAAATTTCATAAGGTTACACAAATTTTCTTTCACTTTGTCACTAATACAATATGAAATTTTTTATATCTAATATCAAATTTGTGACTAATAAAAATTATTCAAGAATACTTCTATTATTATTTTGAAATATAATTTTTTATACCTTTGAATTTTTTTATTATATACGTATTATTTTAAATACTATTATTTTTTATACAAATTACCTTCATTCTTATTCATTTGAAATCATATACAAAAGTAAAGTATCTAGACATGTAAAAAAAGATCTGTTTTTAACTTTTATTATAGTCAAATTTAAATACAAATTTAAAAAAGTATGTTTTATTCTTTTTTTTAATAGTTTGCTATTGATTTTGTTAAAAAGTCTTAATTTTATTCTTATCTCAAATATCTAATTTATTTGAAAATTCATTTAAAATAATAATAATTTTATTTAATTCTTCTTTGAGTAAAATGTTAACCTGAGATGCCATAACATAATTATGTTATGGTGCCTCAAGTTAACTACTTAATATAGATTATAGTATCTCAAGATAATATGTAATTCAGTTTTGTTATATCAGATAAGTGATATGTGATTTAGTTTTGTTATATCAAAGATGTGCAGTCCTTCTGTGCGATGCTCAAATCATGTTTGTTGTATAAGATAAATGTCAGAGATATGTAACCATGAACTATTACCTAAACCAGATGGTTTTTGCTCAAATTATGTTTGCTGTATAAGATGAATATTAGAGATATGTGACTATGACCTATCTCTTAAACAATATAGTTGATGCTCAAATTACATTTGTTGCATAAGACAAGTAACACATGATTTAGTTTTAATATGTTGGAGATAAGTTGTCGTGACCTTCAAAGTTAATACAGTTTTTACCGAGTGATTCAATTTTACTGTATCAAAGATAAATAGGTATGACCTATTTCCTAGACAATATGATCATCAGTAATTATATTAATTCGAAAACCTTCAAAATTATATTGTAATATTAGATTTTGAAGGTTATCGATTGTATCACAACTTTTTGAAATCAAAATTTAATGGTTAAATTTTGATACATATTATTTCGTTATCAAAAACTTTTGAAATTCAATTTTAAATTTTTTAATGATAACCTAAACTTTCAAAATTTAATAATTAGTATTTTAACATATTTTGTTTTAGGTTTATTATTTTCGGATTATTTCAAATTTAATCGTTTTCATTGTAATTCAATATATATTGTAGAAAATTTCATTTTGTAATATTTTATTACTTTTTGAATTTTTACATAATTTATTATTAATTTTATTATTAAAAAATGATAATAAATATTTCATAATATTTTTTTTTATTTTCCTATATATTTTTGTATAATGATGTAATAATATAAAGTAACTATTTTTTATATAATTCTTAAATATGACACAGGTTTTTATTTTCTATAATATTATATTACTTGATACTTCTCTTCATCTTTATTCTTTTATAAAAATAATAATATTTTAGTTTTTATTTTGTTTTTTCGTAATTTTACGAAAGTTTGAAAAATGTTTATTTACCTTTTTGAAATTTTTTCAAATTTCTTTTAAATTTTTTATAAATTTTCTATTATAATAATTAAAGTTAATATTATTAATTTGAATTTTTTATTATTTGAATCATCAGAATATATTACATCATATATCTTCAAAATACTCATATATAATTAAATATTACAATTCAAAGTAAATTAATTTTTTCAAATAAATAATTCAAATACTTATATTGTTGTCATAAATATGTTAACAAAGAAAGAACCTGTTATAATTCTAAATACTACTATATAAAACTTTAATGTAATTATTTAATAAAATAAATTCTTTAAAAAAAAATCTTTAAATTATACAGAAAAATTTTAAATTTTTTTACCTTATAAATTTGTAAAAATAACTTATTAGTTTTTGTCTCTTCAAAGATACCATCAGTAAATTTTAATAGCCGAAAATTTTCGAAAATTTTTGCCATATAAATTTCCGTCATATTACGGGACCCATGTAAATTTTTGAAAATATTACGGAATTCTGATGTTGATGTAAAATTCTGAAATTTTTTTACGTAATATAATTTTGAAAATTTTCGGTATAATAAATTTCCGTAAATTAGATATTTTAAAATATTTTTAATGCCTTTCGAAATAATCTGTTTATTTTTGTTTTAATTTTTTTCAAAATTTTCAAATTTTCAAATTTCAAATTTTTTACTATATTTTTTATAAATTTTCACAAAATATTACATATATATTTATTTTTATTTATTATTATTTAATAAGAAATAATAGAATTTGACAAATATAAATGGAAAAAATTATATACAAATAAAAAAAATTATATATAAATTAAAGAAAAATTATTCTTCTTCTTGAACAAATTCTTGTTCATTATTTTTTTCATTACTATTGATACTACTTTTATTTGATTTAGGCAAGCTTTCGCAATTTGATTTGAGTGAGCTTTCGCTTTCAGCTTCATTTTCACTTTCGATAATTTTCTCAATTTTTCTTTTTTTAGCTTTTTCTTCTGCACGTTTTTGAATTTCACTAAGTGACGGGAATTCAGGTTCAGGTCTTTCAGAAATCTTTGGAATTTCTGAAGCTGAAACTGGAACTTTTCTTTTTTGAGAGGAAGATAGTAATTGAGTTTTTCTTTTTTTCAAAGATGATAATAGTGAAGAAGAAGAAGAGAAGGAGAAAGAAGAAGAAGAAGATTGGAAATCTTCAGATTTGAATATTTCGAATGTTTCTTTCTTTTTTATTTTTTCTTATTTTTATACTGAGTTTTTAGTAAATTTTCAGAATTTTTTAAAGTGAAGTTACAAATACTTACAATATTAATTGATAAAAAATTTTTTATACAATCTTCTGTTATTCTTATATAACCATTTTTCAAATTTAGTATTGTTTGAACGATCGATATCATCCAAGCAATATGTTGTCCAGGTGGTTTCAAAGTTGAAGACTATACTTTTTTTAGGATTAACTCCATATATGACGAATTTCCAGAAAAATCTGTTTCATCAAAAAATTTTTTATAGCAACTTTTGGTGCTAGGGTATTACTTCCATTTTAAAATTTCAGCAGATTTTGCAGTTGATTTTATTTTGCGAAGATGTTTATCAAAACTTCAAATATGGCAGTCCTCACTTTGCCACATAACTTACTTCGTTCGTTATGTATCCTATCCCTAACTATTTAATTATTAAAAAGTGAAACAAATTTCAGAATATTTCACAATACTTCAATTTTCATACCTTAGTTTGAATTTTTTTTTCATAATATAGATTCCACTTTCGACCAAATGAATTGTAAATTTCGTCATAAAATTATTGCATGTAAACTTCGCAGCTTTCTTTGTATTCTGGAGATATAGGATACAAGTTAGATTTTACAATCATTTCAGTAACATTTGAGATTATATCCTATATTATAAAATTTTATTAATAATCATGAAACTTCAAAATTTCATTAAAACTATTAATAAAGTTATTTACATCCATAAATTCTTTATCGTTCGTTAAAAAACATAAATCTTCTTTGATTTTTGAAATATCAATTTTTATAATGAATTGATCTTTTTTCAGATCTTCAAGATCTGTTTCAAGTTTATTGAGTTTTTCAAAGATTTTCAAAAGTAATACACTATCATCTATATTTTAAAATAATAAATTAAATTGAACCATATACATTCTTAAAAACTTCTATTATGAATTTATTATCATTGTTATTTTCTATATCATCTTTTCTTGCAACTTGTCAAGATGAAGAATGTCGAGAAGAACTAGAAGGTCAGGAAGAACTTACAAAAGGTTGCGAAGTTTTTTTATGAATACCTGAAATTAGGTTACTGAAATTTATATTAATAATCAAATAAGTAATAAAGTTACAAAACAAAAGTTAAAAAACTACAAAACAAAGTCAAAACCTTTATATTTATAAGTAGTTAAAAATGTCACAAAATTGAAAATTTTTAGCTTAAGGAGTATGTAGTAAGTGAAGAGTATATAGTGAGTAAGGAGTATGTAGTTAGTGAGGAGTATGAAAATGTGGTGACAATTTACATAAGTAAATAAAAATCTAAACTAAACAAAAA